GGGGGAAGACAGGTGCTCCGCTCGGGCCCCCAAGGCCCCCTGCTGGACCCTAACCTTGCCGTCGCTCGGACGTTCACTTCCCGTGCATTGTTTGGTTCCGTGCGTGTTTTTTGTCGCTCGATGATCCAGGATGTTCCTCCAGGGTCCTCGCCGAAAAAAAATGCACACGTCCGAGCGATGCCAAGTAAAGGTCCCCTTAATGGGGCCGCGAAGGGCACCTTTTCTGCAGCCCTCGCTGCCCCCCCCCCCGACTTTTACCGCCCCACCATTTTACGCGACACCCACAAGTCCCATCCCCGGTGCTCCTCCAGGCGCTCCTCCTCCCATCCCCCCGCGCGCCTCCCTCCCTCCAGCCCATCCGGGGTGCTCCTCCGTCCCCTCCCGACCCCGCACACACACACACACAACCGAGGCCCCCCAGTACAGACGTGCAGGGCAGATTCGCAAACGAGCACCTTTCGGTCTGGGCGGGCAGGGCGGCTTCGCAAACGCAAATCGGGGGCGGGAACGGTCAACATCGAATCGATTAAACGGGTCGGATCGGAACGCGCTTAGAGTCGGACCGCATCGGAACGGAATCGGCACATCGGCCTCGCCAGAAGGCACAGCGGGGTCGTGTGCCAGCATCGGGCTGCCTCGGGTCGCCCAAACCCACCGAATCGGAATGAATCGAGCCAGCCCCAAAGTGGTACCGAATCGGGTCGGTCGCATCGAAACGAGCCCTGCGGTGTGAGTCTTCCTGCAGGGCCCCGTGAACAGAGTCGTTCGTAAACCAGAACGTCGGCGGATAAGGAGGAGGAGGAGGAGGAGGAGGAGGAGGAGGAAGGCGAGGGCGAGGGGGCGGGGGGGGAGGGGGATGGAGGAGGAGGAGAGGAGGAGGAGGAGGAGGAGGGAGGAGGAGAGGGGAGGAGGAGGAGGAGAAGGATGAAGAGGAGGGAGGAGGAGGAAAGGGAGGGTGAGGGAGGAAGGAGGCGGAGGAAGGGAGGAGGAGGAGGACAGGAGGAGGAGGAGGAGGAAAGGGAGGAGGAGGAGGAGGAGGAGGAGGAGGAGGAAAGGGAGGAGGAGGAGGAAAGGGAGGAGGAGGAGGAAAGGGAGGAGGAGCAGCAGCACACGAGAAACAGCCGTGGGCAGGGGCAGTCTCCACTCTCGGGCCTCTCTGGCTGGGGCTGGGCTCTCGTCGAGTCCTGGCGTGCGATATGCCCTGGTTTTTCCAGGGCCGCACTTCCTCTCCCAAGACGACGCCAGGTTTAAGTCGGGCATGCCCCTCTACAGGAGGAATCTATAAACGTAGTCAAACATAGTCAGGGGACGATATTTTGCTTTTTGACAATGGTTGATCATTTTTGGAATATGTTTCCTGATTCGCCCAAAATCCGCCTGTAAGAGGACATGCCCAACCTAACGCCAGGTCCCTAAGATCTTGCTGTTCTGAAGGATTTCGAGATCTGACGGTTCTGGAGGCCCTCTTTTCCCAGAGGCCTCGTCAGAAGTGTCAGAAGGCCCCTGGCCTTCTGAGAAGCTTCCCAAGTAGTCTCCGACGCCACAGGGTCTCTGTGATCTGGCGGTTCGAGCGGCCCCTCGGACCGGGACACGTCGGGGATCGATGAGATCCGGGGGCTCTGGAGGATGCATGTGGCGCCAAGGCCCTCCCAGAGCGCCCCAGAACGCTCCGAGAGTGCTCTGGAACACTTTCGAACCAAGCCTGCCTGATGCTTCCAGGCCGCCCAAATGGGGCCAGAGCACATGGGGCCTGAGGATCGCGCCGCGTCGCCGATGCATCGGGCAATGTGCCGGCGAAAGCGGAGCGGTCAGCGCTCTGGAGCGACCTGGGGGAATTCAATGGGTACCGATGCCGCTGCTCCCCCGACCTCTTCCGGGTCGCGTTCTGACCAGAATTTTGAAGCGAATCCAGCGGTGGCGAAGAGGGCCACCTGGGAGGCCCAAGGGAGGAGCAGGAGGAGGAGGAGGAGGAGGAGGAGGAGGAGGAGGAGGAGGAGGAGGAGGAGGAGGAGGAGGAGGGAGGAGGAGGAGGAGGGAGGAGGAGGAGGGGAGGAGGAGGAGGAGGAGGAGGAGGAGGAGGGTATCGGTATCGGTACCTTTCCCCCTTCTAACGCCCGCTCCTTCGAGCCGAGGCGCCGGCCACTTCAGCAGCATGTCCAACACCTCCGTGACGCTGTCGAAGTCCGCGACCACGTGGCTTTTCCAGCTTTGGAGGGCGAAGAGCTGCTGATCCTGCAGCGCCCGGAGGAGCTATGAGAGAGGGAGGGGAGAACGGGGGGGGAAGGAGGAGGCGAGGGAGGAGGAGGAGGAGGGGGGGGGGAGGAGGGGGAGGAGGAAGAAACATGAGAGGAGGGGGAGGGGCGGAGGTGGAGGGGGGAGGCGGAAGAGGAAAAGGAGGAGGGGAAGGGGAAGGTGGAGGTGGAGAGGAGGGGTGGGGGAGAGCGGCGGCGCTCCTCGTGCTTACCTCCTCCTGGTCGTGCAGGACCTGCCTCGTCCTCCTCCTCCTCCTCCTCCTGCCCTGTTTTGGTGCTGAAATTATGGTGATCAATGCTATCCTCGTCCTCCTCCCTCCTCCTCCTTTTCCTCCTCCAACTCTGCGTCATTCCTAGCCGTTCCTCCTCCTCCTCCTCCTCCTCCTCCTCCTCCTCCTCCTCATTCTCCTCCCTGGCCATCCCTCATCCTCGTCCGCCTCTGCTTCATCATCCTCCTCCTGCTACACGTCCTCCCATTCCTACTCCTCATACTGCTCGTCCTCGTCCCTCCACCTCCTCCTGCTCCTCCTCCTCCCTCCTC